TAGACCATCATATTTTACATAAAACCTTTAAAATTAGTCACCGCTCACTTAATGAAATGTGGGCAAATTTTCAGCTTTCACTTGCTTATGGCTTACAAGTCTATTCCTGTTTACTTATCCATATTGGGACTAAAAACTGTCCAGCTTGACCAGGACAGTGTCCAGTCGACTAGTAGAATATATACTTTCCTAAAATAGTGTGATCTCAAGCTTTATTTATAAATGAGGCTACACTAAAACAAAGGATATACCATACTATGGAAGAACAGTGAACCAGTGGCTACCTTTTGCAGAAGTGCCAGCACAATGCCCTAAACCTCTGCATTGTACATCTCCATATTGTTGCATGATATAATAATTTCCATTTAATACCTTATATCTACTCTGCACATTTATAGATTTATCTTGTTATCATGGTTGTTATCAAACAGGTATCAAAAGAAGGTCAAGACCAAGCCAATTTCCTTAGTACATTTGTTATACACAATGTAGCTGCCTAATTAGCATGTTATTCAGTCAGTCTGACAAGTTCCATCAGATAATGATTTCCTTACACAGTGATGTAATTGGGCATTTTTCAGTTTGTATTCAATTTGGGATAAAGACATACTTTAATTTGTGCCTTGTTAAATTAATTCGGAAAAATGGATATCTTCAGCACTGACCACCTTTAATATAAGATGGAATACAAGAAATAGATTTCAAATATGAACTGATCTTGTAAATTTTGGTAAGTTTTGAGTTTAATAATTACTTGTCACAAAACAAGAGTATGCATGTATGACACTGTTTTGAAAGATGGTGGCATTAATATTATTTATAGCATATGACTGCTGCTAGAGATCAATGATAATCTGTTGCCACATTTCATCGAATCCAAAAGCTCAAGAGTGGTAGCAATAGCTAATTCCAAAGGCTGTGACAATAGACAGAAACCATAACTTTGTAACATTTAAGCTAAAAATTCTGAAAATTTTGCAGCCTTCTGGGTTCTGCATTTATATTGGGCAGGCCAAATAACCAGTCTAGCTTACTGAACAACATACAGGAGACCCGTCACAAGCCATCCAGGGCAATTACAGTAGTGTCTTGCTGAATGACACAACCATGACAACAGAGACCAGTCTGTTTCTCTGATTCCAAGGAAACACTGAACCACACAGATCAGATGTTCACCCAAGGATACATAAAGGTAAAATCTCAACAGACTGAGCTATTATGGCCCCTACTTTCATTTTGATATTGGGATGGTAGCCATTTAAACTAGTTCTAATTGAAACATCTACAATCTATATTGAACTATATGCACTGCAATGGGCACTGGAGATCTCTAATTTAAAATTTAATGTTTACTCAAGCTATGTGTGTCTTTTGTAAAATCTTTGAACATATTACACTGCTGTATTGTAAACCACTGAATACATTCTTTTGATTTCTACACATATCTAAAGGTGTTACAAAGTATTATTCAATAGAATTATAAATATTTAATTCAAGCAATGATAACTGGACTATATATATATCAACAGTATTGGCTAGTCTTAAAACAGTTCACATTCACTAGATTCTCATCAAAAATCACTCTCCCATCTAGAAAATGTTTTCACTAACATGTTTTGTTAGAAATCTTATTGAACATGAATAAGACCATAAGAAATTCAACACTAATAAAACCTGTCTGTCCTGTTAATCATATATAAAGAAGAAGCATACATGGTGAAAGACAGCTGATCCTCTGTTGCCTTGACCCTCACCTCACAGCTGTGAACCTGTCCTCTAATTGGGACCCTCCCACTATTGTTCTACTTTTAAGTACCTCCAGATCCACTGCATCTCCTCATTAAGGTCTAGCTGCACCCCATCATTTGGCAACCAAACCACACAACATGCCCATACAATCCCCCTATTGATACATTGCACAGACCTCTGAGGAAGGGATTACAATATGAAGGCAGGTTGATTGGGCAGGTTTCCGACATGCAGTTCCCAGCTAGCCAAAACTAGGTTTTAAATTATATCCGGGATAAATACCAAGTTAAATGTATGATGTCCAGTTGATCACAATGTTTATCTACAGACTTGTTACTTGACAAGAAGAGGCATATAAAAGGATTTGTCGGACAGGTTGTACATCTGTTTCCCTACCAGACCAAATACAAAGGTATAAGTTGCTTGTATGTGCAGTCATTATCTTTCCATCTCCCTAATGGGGATTGAACCTGGGACATTCTACAATCAAAATGCACTGTAAGCTTCTAGTAGAAGACAGCTCGCAATTGTTTATGAACAGCATACTACAAACACACAAAATGGATCTCTCAATAAAGCTATTTATACAGACAAAAGTTTTCAAATTTAACATGTCAAGACAAAAACTTTGGTGGAAGAAAAAAATATATTGGAAAATATTCCACAATATCATTCAGTGGCTATGTAAAAGGCGGCAAAGAGTTGAAAGGTCAAATCCACAAATCAAATTATCAAACATTTTAATGGATAAAGTACAATTATCCTCTTTTCCAGAAAAGGGTTGAAGAGGCTTTTATCTTGGTAAAATATAGTAATAGTAATCTGATTCCTGTCACTCTGATATGGTCAATATTTTGGTCAAGCTTTCCTGTTTATAAAAAATGTGTTTCATTACATAATTATAATAAAATCAATTTGTTTATGATCTTGAAAGTCCATTTTATAATTATAGTATTGCACATCCATCAAAAATATGTTATTTATATATATACCATATATTTTTTGTATAAATCATATTTCTGACTTATATACTGTTTAAATTATCAGGAGGCCAAACTATAAATCAATCCATACACATTGTATAAATATAACCCTTAGCAATGTGGTTCAGCTACACAAAAACATTAATCCAAACATGCTTTAAATAATACTCTTATGGATTATAAGCAGATCACTAATCATGAAAAGAAAACGTTTTAAATATATAACGTTGGGTATCTGTAAAATTTACCTATCACTTGTATGTTATACCAGTACTGGATAAGAATAAAAAATGACACAAACTTTATATAGATGTAGCATACATTATCTGATGCATTCACAATTCTTCTCCTCACAATACAACTCATTGAAAAGGAAACAACAAATTATTTTTAAAAAAAAAAACTCACTTAAATCTTTGCGTGTCAAAACTTTCCCCTAAGCATTCTGGTTTCAACAAACTTAATGTTTCCCTATTTTCTGTTATGTATTTGAATCACTGCCGAGTGTCAGTGTAAGATAGACAGCTGGTAATTGACAAAATTTACAAATCTCATTGGGACTTAAAAACCCAGACTGAAAAAGATTCTTTTAATGACTGCTTTAAGATTCTTTAATATTCCTTTTGTTGATGTATGAACTACATTACCTAGAATTTTAAAGTTTATCTTGATGTATTTTATAGCAACAAACAACATACTTCTGGACAATTCATCTAATACAAAATGTACATGCCAGTTTGTTTCTTTGTCATTCATGTTTGCCGTCATATGGCAGTTATTAACAGGTGTTCAACAATTTGTAATTTTCATAAAAAGACCACAAAAATAATCCTCACTGTAATCAGTTATTCATCTGACAGAAAACACTGCAATCGGTCTGATGGACCAATTCATCAGCATTACAGGTACATTTTGTAACAGACCTACTGCCTCTTTCAGACTTTAGTGGCTTTAGATACTTATTTATGGGATTCATCATGAATCAACTTTTTATCCAACATTTACAGGACTATAACTTAAACTAGGACTGTCACTTATGATATCAATACTGCGACAGTATGTATTTTAACTACTTTTAACATCATTTTTGTCCAAACATACAATTTTCTCTCTCTTTGACATGGAATCCAGTTCACTTTTTTAATATGAAGTAACTTAGAATACCAATACTGAGTTGATTATATTTTACCCGAGTGAATTCACATCTTTTTTCTTAGAGAATATTTGTAGGTTTACTAAATAAAACCAACAAAAACATTGCTTACCAAGCTTCTTCACAGATCAGCTAATAATACTCAGTATTGTTACTCCTTACTAACTTGTATACTAGTGACAGGACGATGATCTTATATCATCCATTAATATGTTATCATTTCATATTGTCTAATCCAACAATCAATTGTTTTTTTTTTTAAATTCATCATCAGGACCTCAATACCTTTTGTGTTTAAGCAAAAACAAAATTCACATCACTCATAATAAAGACGCCAGTTACCAATAATATTCTTTTTTATGCTTTTAGGCTTTACCTCGTATCGAAGTAAACTGATTGTTAACAATTGGGCGTTTTGTTCATTTGTAAGTGAAGAGTTTCCCAATTAGTTTAGCTAAATATGAACCATAATTTCAGTTGGAATCTTTACTGTTGAGTTGGGTGTACACAGGGATGTGCTTTGAAATGAAAATTCCCTACAGATCTGTATTGATATATATCAGTATGCTAGTGTGATATATAATCCTAATATTAGATATTGGAGTTAGTGATCATGATAACAATTATCAGTTGAAAGAAAATGTATTGTAAATTTCATTTTAATACCGTAATAATTATTTTATTTTCATCATTTTGATAATGCTGCAGAGATGAATCCATAGAATTTCTTAAAATACTTTTACCTTTTGGGACTCATTACTTTTAGCAATAAAGTTGAACAGTACCATGAGGATCAATTGTAGATTGACAACTGATGCTGATTTGAAATTTCAGACCAACAAGATGTTAACCAGTGGATATTCTCTCATACAATGACCGTCACATACCTAAAACCTACATTTTTTTTGACAACTTTCCTGCATTATAAACAGGAATAAACATTTCAGCAATTTCAACAGCACAAGTATGATTTCTATCTAACTACTTGGATTGAACTCTGCTCTGCACCTTCCATGAAGCTTAAAACTTTCATTGTCATCTATATACCACTGTTTATCAGCTATTACCTGAAAAAACAAGCATGTTACATATATTTTTTATTAATAAAAACCCACCTCTCCAGCATAACTGTATTTTGCCTTCAGGATAAGTCGATAGAGACGTGTTTTGTTTTCATCATCGAAAGGCATAGTTCCACTGAGCAGGATATAGGTAATGACCCCTACTGCCCACATGTCAACCTGGCATGTATAAGGTTTTCGGGCTATGATTTCTGGGGCTATATATTCAGGGGTACCACATGTAGTTCTCATGAAATTATCCGGACCTTTCTTAGTAGCACTTAATCCAAAGTCTGTGATCATGATTTTAGAATCATGACCCGGATGATAGTACAGTAAGTTTTCTGGTTTGAGATCTCTATGTGTTATACCTAAACCGTGCAGGTATTTCACACCATCCAAAACCATGTTCAACACATGAGTAGCATCCCTTTCTGTAAATGACCCTTTCGCAATGATTCTGTCAAAAAGTTCACCACCTGTTGCAAGTTCCATGACCATGTACACTTTATCCTTCGTTTCAAAGACTTCTATAAGTTGTATTATATGTGAATGTTTAACCCGGCGCAAGACCGCGACCTCTGCTTCGAAAACCTCCTTGCCCTGAACCCGGTCAATCATTTTGATGGCATAGGGTTGTCTTGTAACCCTATGTTCCACCCGCACCACTTTAGAGAAGTTCCCCCTTCCTATCAATGCTTTGATGTCATATTTAGCTGTCACCCTAGCATCAAATTTATCTCTGTATTTTTTCACCTTTCGGTTCGACCTCTGCCCGTCAGCCGGAGGCCCCGAAGCCCGGGGGTCCTTCGGTTGGTCCCTGTTGTTACGGGCGTGAGAGTGTTTTTGGTGTGGATTCTGACGACTGTTTTCCTTATTTCGCTCATTTTGCTCAAAAACCTGGACAACGACCCGAGTTGCCGTCGGGTCATCAGGCACCGTCTTACTTACATTACAGCCCATTTGAAATAAAACGAAAAACACTTCCTTCTACATGGTGTCATCCCCTCAGCTGTTTGGAAGGGGGTCGTGGCTATCAACGTGGAGGGAATACACAAATCCGTTCGTTTTCAGAATCCACTCATGAATCCGATTGGTGTCGAAGAACAACATGGACGACGGGCAACTTGTTAATTACATGATTTCCGCGGAAGAAAATAGTCCGCACACATGAACATTGTTCACTCATTACATATCTCTTTTGATTGGTTTCTTTTTTTAATTTACAACATGTATATGTTGAATTTGTGTATCTGATGAATAGAAATAATGTTACAGTTCACAGATGATGATAATCTTTCGCAAATTGCGCATTAATACCGTTATCCCATAGAAAGATCGTGAAACGGCCAATCCTAATACACGTGATCCCCAGATCAAAACCACAGGAGTTCGTCTGTGTGTATTATACCGCTACCTAATACACAACTAACGGCATGTAAAGCGGGAATGTCATATTAACACTTAGATTATTCAATCCCCTGTGAACAACGTCAGAAGTTGTTATAACGACTAACGGGAGCTCACTTGTGGAAAAAACTATGTAAACACTACTTCTTTCCCGTGAAATAAAATAGTAAACAAATATTTCTTTCACAGTCATGCAATTTGTTAGTACATAATGACATTTGGGATTTGTTTTGTGGTGTTTCATAACCTGAGATACGGCACTAATTTTATTTTGTTTGCCTGACCTACTTCGCTACATAACACCCAACTTATCAGCGCGCCCAACAAAGATTTAGACAAACAATTGCCGTTATCACGAGCTGCTAAGAAAATCAGCTTCTGTTGTTCCGTGCGGATTATGGTAAAGCGTTTTCAGCTGAGCTGGTATTTGAAACTGACCCATTTAGAATGTCTACTAATATCAGTGTGGTCGTTCGAGTTCATCAATTTTAATACATATACTGAAATGAACCCTTGCTTGTCACAATGAAGATTATTTTTAAAGCGTGCAGTTTTTAATATGATATAGGACTTCAGTATTCTTATAACTAAAAACGAATAAACACAACTTATTTTACTTAATTTAAACTTTGTCTTATCGTATATTGAAGTGATGCATGAATTATATATATCTAAAACTAAAGGATTCAGAAAATAATGTTATACCGTTGATCATAGCTATTAAAACATGAAAGTATTAAGTTCGTGGTTGTGGAAAGAGGGTCTATGTAATAAAACTACTCATTTTATCACATACAAAAGTTTTGTTTATTTTCGAAACACCAACGATCAGACTCCCGAAAGTTCAAATTATCACGGACTTCAATAATCGATATCGAAGTAGACTAAAATTTGACATGGATCTACGAAATCGATGACATTATACACTTTATACTGGTAACCATTTATGTCCAAGATATGGAAACAATTCAAATGATTTTTTTTCTCAATGAAAGAAAGATTATTTAGATAAATTATGAATAATATAGAAAATATAGAGTACTTCAAACAAAAATATGATATGTGGTCCTATCGAATTGTGACGGTCAGTGACAAAAATATTCCTTCGTGACCAATAATCCTCCTACATGAATACGCCGATTCTTGAAAGAGAAAAGAAACATCTATTGGGACGTGCTATTGAGGTGAAATAAAACCTTTTTCCTTTCACACAACTTTGACCCAACATCTTTCATATATCAGTCAAGCGGTCGACACAAAGTTGCCATATACGGTAGTTGATAATGACCTAGTTGATTTTAGAGGTGTTGACCTTGATGGTAAACTGAGAATAAAAAAAAATGTTCAGTAGAACTTAAACACGCGTGATATTTAGGACTCTGTGCAGATCATGTTTTAACTGTTTGGATTTCTAAGAGCCCATGCCTATCCGATGATCAGTGTTTTTATTGGGAAGAATAAAAAAGTTATCTTTAACAGACATTCGTTTTTCCGGGGTAATTCACCCGTTACTCTGTAAAACCACAGAGACTTCATTGCGCGAAACGTTTCCCAGCCTTTACTTATTTTAATAAAAAGTCTCGCCGGAGCTAAATATTGCCCCTCGGCTGATTTTATATACGGCCGATTTTACGTGTTTATAATCATTATGATATATTTAACGACAAATTAAGCTTACACATATACATACACAGTGTTTGTTTTCATAGTCATGTCACTAAAACCAAACGAGGCCAGAGGGTAATGTGATCTGTAAACTACCGTTATAACGAGGCTCGGGTGGGTGCCGACTGAGGTCATCACCATCACAAAACAACACAATATTTCATTTCGCTCCGATATATATTTATAAACGGTTAAATAGGTACACGTACACTTGGTTTTCCCGAGTTTGTGTATATTATGTTTCAAAACTCCTGTGGTAATAATGTTTTCAGCGAATGGACATGATTCAAAACGTTAAAAAGAAGAAACTTATAAAATACCGATTTCAGTGTTTATGTGCGACAATAAACAATCTCTCTACATTATTAAAAATGGGATAAAGAACGACCTCTAGAAGTGAGTGAGTGAATGAATGAGTGATTGGAATAAGTACACGTGTTAAGAAATTAAGGGGAAAAACAAAGAAAAAAAATTCCATATAAGTGAGAAACCAAAAGAGCGATCTGTATGTAAACTCTGGGGTGTTATGTAGGTACAGGACAAGAACGATCTATGTGAGAAGGATCTCTAACAGTGGGTATATGTGGAGGGAAGGACAAGAACGATCTCTAGCAGTGGGTATGGTGGAGAAAAAGACAAGAACGATCTCCAGCAGTGGGTATATGTGGAGGAAAGGACAAGAACGATCTCTAGCAGTGGGTATGGTGGAGAAAAAGACAAGAACGATCTCTAGCAGTGGGTATATGTGGAGGAAAGGACAAGAACTATCTCTAGCAGTGGGTATGGTGGAGAAAAAGACAAGAACGATCTCTAGCAGTGGGTATATGTGGAGGAAAGGAAAAGAATGATCTCTAGCAGTGGGTATATGTTTAGGAAAAGACAAGAACGATCTCTAGCAGTGGGTATATGTGGAGGAAAAGACAAGAACGATCTCTAGCAGTGGGTATATGTGGAGGAAAGGACAAGAACGATCTCTAGCAGTGGGTATATGGTCTAGCAGTGGGTAAAAAGACAAGAACGATCTCTAGCAGTGGGTATATGTGGAGGAAAGGATCTCTAGCAGTGGGTATATGTGGAAAGGACAAGAACGATCTCTAGCAGTGGTATATGTGGAGGAAAGGACAAGGACGATCTCTAACAGTGGGTATATGTGGAGGAAAGGACAAGGACGATCTCTAGCAGTGGGTATATGTGGAGGAAAGGACGAGAACGATCTCTAGCAGTGGGTATATGTGGAGGAAAGGACAAGAACGATCTCTAGCAGTGGGTATATGTGGAGGAAAGGACAAGAACGATCTCTAGCAGTGGGTATATGTGGAGAAAAAGACAAGAACGATCTCTAGCAGTGGGTATATGTGGAGGAAAGGACAGAAACGATCTCTAGCAGTGGGTATATGTGGAGGAAAAGACAAGAACGATCTCTAGCAGTGGGTATATGTGGAGGAAAGGACAAGAACGATCTCTAGCAGTGGGTATATGTGGAGGAAAAGACAAGAACGATCTCTAGCAGTGGGTATATGTGGAGGAAAGGACAAGAACGATCTCTACCAGTGGGTATATGTGGAGGAAAGGACAAGAACGATCTCTAGCAGTGGGTATGTGTGGAGGAAAGGACGATCTCTATGTGGAGAAAAAGACAAGAACGATCTCTAGCAGTGGGTATATGTGGAGGAAAGGACGAGGACGATCTCTAGCAGTGGGTATATGTGGAAAAGACAAGAACGATCTCTAGCAGTGGGTATATGTGGAGGAAAGGACGAGGACGATCTCTAGCAGTGGGTATATGTGGAAAGGACAAGAACGATCTCTAGCAGTGGGTATATGTGGAGGAAAGGACAAGAACGATCTCTAGCAGTGGGTATATGTGGAGGAAAAGACAAGAACGATCTCTAGCAGTGGGTATATGTGGAGGAAAGGACAAGAACGATCTCTAGCAGTGGGTATATGTGGAGGAAAGGACAAGAACGATCTCTAGCAGTGGGTATATGTGGAGGAAAGGACAAGAACGATCTCTAGCAGTGGGTATATGTGGAGGAAAAGACAAGAACGATCTCTACCAGTGGGTATATGTGGAGGAAAGGACAAGAACGATCTCTATGCGTGGGTATATGTGGAGAAAAAGACAAGAACGATCTCTAGCAGTGGGTATATGTGGAGGAAAAGACAAGAACGATCTCTAGCAGTGGGTATATGTGGAGGAAAAGACAAGAACGATCTCTAGCAGTGGGTATATGTGGAGGAAAGGACAAGAACGATCTCTAGCAGTGGGTATATGTGGAGGAAAAGACAAGAACGATCTCTAGCAGTGGGTATATGTGGAGGAAAGGACAAGAACGATCTCTAGCAGTGGGTATATGTGGAAAGGACAAGAACGATCTCTAGCAGTGGGTATATGTGGAGGAAAGGACAAGAACGATCTCTAGCAGTGGGTATATGTGGAGGAAAGGACAAGAACGATCTCTAGCAGTGGGTATGTGTGGAAAGGACAAAAACGATCTCTAGCAGTGGGTATATGTGGAGGAAAGGACAAGAACGATCTCTAGCAGTGGGTATATGTGGAGGAAAGGACAAGAACGATCTCTAACAGTGGGTATATGTGGAGGAAAAGACAAGAACGATCTCTAGCAGTGGGTATATGTGGAGGAAAGGACAAGAACGATCTCTATGCGTGGGTATATGTGGAGGAAAAGACAAGAACGATCTCTAGCAGTGGATATATGTGGAGGAAAGGACAATAACGATCTCTAACAGTGGGTATATGTGGAGGAAAAGACAAGAACGATCTCTACCAGTGGGTATATGTGGAGGAAAGGACAAGAACGATCTCTAGCAGTGGGTATATGTGGAGGAAAGGACAAGGACGATCTCTAGCAGTGGGTATATGTGGAGGAAAGGACGAGAACGATCTCTAGCAGTGGGTATATGTGGAGGAAAGGACAAGAACGATCTCTAGCAGTGGGTATATGTGGAGGAAAGGACAAAAACGATCTCTAGCAGTGGGTATATGTGGTGGAAAAAACAGAAACGAGCTCTCGCTGTGGGTATATGTG